GACTGGTGTGAGGTGGTATCTCATTGTGGTTTTGATTTGTATTTCCCTGATGCCAAGTGATGTGGAGTACTTTTTCATGTGTCTGTTGGCCACCTGGATGCCTTCTTTGCAGAAATGTCTGTTCATGTCCTATGTCCATTTCTTGATTGGATTATTTGTTCTTTGGGTGTTGAGTTTGATAAGTTCTTAAAAGATTTTGGATATTATACCTTTATCTGATATGTCATTTGCAAATATCTTCTCCCATTCTGTCAGTTGTCTTTTGGTTTTGTTAACTGTTTCCTTTGCTGTGCAAAAGCTTTTGATCTGGATAAAGTCCCAGTAGTTTATTTTTGCCCTTGTTTCTCTTGTCTTTGGCGATGTTCCTAGGAAGAAGTTGCTGCGGCTGAGGTCGAAGTGGTTGCTGCCTGTGTTCTTCTCAAGGATTTTGATGGATTCCTTTCTCACATTGAGGTCCTTCATCCATTTTGAGTCTATTTTCATGTGTGGTATAAGGAAATGGTCCAGTTTCATTTTTCTGCATGTCGCTGTCCAATTTTCCCAACATCATTTATTGAAGAGGCTGTCTTTTTTCCATTGGACATTCTTTCCTGCTTTGTCGAAGATTAGTTGACCGTAGAGTTCAGGGTCTATTTCTGGGCTCTCTATTTTGTTTCACTGATCTATGTGTCTGTTTTTGTGCCAGTACCATCCTATCTTGATGACAGCTTTGTAATAGAGCTTGAAGTCTGGAATTGTGATTCCACCAACTTTGACTTTCTTTTTCAGTATTCCTCTGGCTATTCGAGGTCTTTTCTGGTTCCATATAAATTTTAGGATTATTTGTTCCATTTCTTTGGAAAAAAATGGATGGGATTTTGATAGGGATTGCATTAAATGTGTAGATTGCTTTAGGTAGCATAGACATTTTCATAATATTTGTTCTTCCAATCCAGGAGCATGGAACATTTTCCATTTCTTTGTGTCTTCCTTAATGTCTTTCATGAGTACTTTATAGTTTTCTGAGTATAGATTCTTTTCCTCTTTGGTTAGGTTTATTCCTAGATATCTTATGGTTTTGGGTGCAATTTTAAATGTGATTGACTCCTTAATTTCTCTTTCTTCTGTCTTGTTATTGGTGTACAGAAATACAACTGATTTCTGTGCATTGATTTTATATCTTGACACTTTACTGAATTCCTGTGTAAGTTCTAGTAGATTTGGAGTGGAGTCTTTTGGGTTTTCCACATATAATATCATACCATCTGCAAAGAGTGATAGTTTGACTTCTCTGCTGATTAGGATGCCTTTAATTTCTTTTTATTGTCTGATTGCTGAGGCTAGGACTTCTAGTACTATGTTGAATAGCAGTGGTAATAATGGACATCCCTGCCGTGTTCCTGACCTTAGCAGAAAAGCTCTCAGTTTCTCCATTAAGAATGATATTTGCAGTGGCTTTCTGAAAACGTTTTTTAATTTGCTTGAAAGATAACATTCTCTCCTGTTTTTCGTCCTATTTCATTACTTCTCCATGTGATCTGCTCCTTCTCATACCTCTGAATATTTATTTATGTATTCTGATCTAAATATCTTCCCTAGTTGATACCCTTGGGTTCCCTTGCTTTAAGTCGCCCCCCCACCACCTTTTTAAAAAAGATTTTATTTATTTGTTTGACAGAGAGAGAGACAGCAAGAGAGGGAGTGGAAGATGGAGAAGCAGGCTTTCCACTGAGTAGGGAACCTGATGCAGGGCTCAATCCCAGGACCCTGGGATCATGACCCAAGCTGAAGGCAGACGCTTAATGACTGAGCCACCCATGTTACCCTTACGTTCCCTTTTTGAAGATGACTCCCAGATGCATATTTCTGGTTTCAACTTCTTCTTCCTTGAGCCTCACAGTATTTTCACTTGGATGGCCAGTAAACATTTCAAACTTAATAGATGGAAAACAGAACTCTTGAACCACTTTCTCCATCAAATTTATTCTCTTTGGTTTTTAGAATGATCCTTTAAAAAGGGTAAATCAGATTATGTCATTTTCCTGATCAAAATGACTTTGGCTTTCCTTTACATTTAATATGAAACTCAGTTTCTTACTGTGATTAAAAGAGTTTATAGACATACCCCCTGCCTACCTTCTCTGAACTTCTCTTCCTTTACTCAATCACATTACTCTTCTAGCTATTTCTTGATATTACCTATCCACCTCTTTTTACATTTGGAGGTTCCTATAAACTACAGTGCTCTTCTCACATATCTTCACATGGTTATTATCCTATCATTCAGGTTTATGTTTAGATCTTACCCCTTTATGAGGTGTGTTCTGACTTCCTTATCCAAAATACAGCTCCTTGTCTATATCATGCTCTGTCTCCTTAAGCTATGTGAAAAAAGATTCCTTCTTCCTCACTCTCCTCCATAGATTGTAAGTTTCATGAAGGTAGGAAGTTGGTCTTGTTCACAGCCATATCCTTAACATTACGAAAAATGCCCAGTATAGGTGCCCAGTATTTGTAGAATAAAAGTGTTTTGTGTAGAATTAGTATGTCATTAGTGAATTAATAAAGAACGACTAAGTAGCAATGGCTAGGCTTGTGATAGTTGTATATTTAAATGCATTCAGGCATTAACTTTGTTTGCCCAATGTTGATATGATTAATACTTATAAATGTTGCTCTATGAAATTTATATTTTAGACCTTTTAGGGAATTTGAAGATGAGAAAATTTAAGACTTTAAAAAGTAATAGAATATATCAAAAGAGTAAGGGTGGATGAATATTTAGGTCCATGTATTTGCTTCACTTATGCATTCTTTCTGGTAAAAGATGGTATGCATAAACTTACGCAGCTTTTGTTATCTGAGATTTAATAGTTCTCTTTTATAAGTTGGTTAATGAGTCTGGAAAATGGCTTATTTTAACATAGTTTGCTATGTTGAAAAACAATCTTAAAAACCATCTTAATCTTAATATCTTGAGAGTCCTAGCTTACTAGCAGTTATTCCACAAAACTAGCTATATAGATGTGAACTGGCAAAGTATAGATATACCTCCCAACTCAGCATCAGTTTAAAATGCAAACAGACCCAGTTTTTAAATTGGTGAAGTTTGTGTTCTCTGTCACAATTAAAACTTAGAATGTGACTTCTGTTATCTTTATTAAAGCAATTATACTGTACTGAGTTTTTTTGTTTATTGCTTCAGCTATAGACATTTTATAACAAGTCATGGGATGAAAGATTGATGTTCTATAAAATAAATTTTTTTCTTATTTTTTAAAAAAAGATTTATTTGTTTATTTGAAAGAGAGCACAAGTGGAGGGAAGGGGAGAGGGAGAGAGAGAATCCTTAGGTAGCCTCCCCACTGAGTGTGGAGCCTGACATGGGGCTCCATCCCAGGACTCTGAGATTGTGACCTGAGCTGATATCAAGAGTCAACTGCTTAACCAACTGAGCCACCCAGGTTCACCTATAAAGTAGGTTCACCTATAAAAGAATTTCAAATATCACTGTACATGAACCCAGCTCTCACAGCCAATTTAAAGGGATAGAGGAGCGTCCCTTCGAGTTTACAATTTTCCCGAGATGACATGCTAGAATAATCATAGAGCCAGTTGGAAGTTTCTAGAGGAGGATAAACATTTGCATATTTCTGGTATCATCTTCTAAGAACTGGAATCCACTCTGCTGTAGGACAGTTCTGCTTATTAAGCTCCTCATCTGCTGTGCAATCCCCAATCCCTTTTTTTGGAGGGGGGCGGCTTCTTTTTCTAACCATAAAGCATTTTTCCTTCCAGATTCCCAGGTATTTTACTGTATATTTTTTAGCTCTCCCAAAATTGTAATTTTATATTTCCTGTGCATATAGCCAGTACTTTGTAATATTTTTTCTGTGTTATGTAATTTGGCCTTTATTTATTAGACTTCTGATAGCCAAGTATATTTTTGGAATTTATCTTCTTTGTTAATATATACTCTTCACATTTATTACTGCAAAGAAAGGCATCATATTTAATGCTTTCTTTTCATGAAGAATGAACATAACTTTGAAATTCCCCAAAGGAAAAAATTATTTGTGTGGTCTATAAATTTATCAGGACTGTACAATTTCTAGCATGCATATTTTAACTTAGCAACTAGTCCTTCTTTTGGGCTCTTGGATTTTTTTTTTTTTTAACTGTATCTTGGAAGATAGTAGGGCTTGTAAGAGCTCTTTGCACCCAAATTCACTTCTTTAGAGAGAAGTTTGATTTTTATTATAGTTGTAGAAGATTACAGTAGTGGGAGCTTATTCCATCTATCTCAACATCCTGTACACACTGCTTCTCAAGCTATTAGTGGTGAAATACTAATTTTAAAAATTTCCAGTTCATCAAAGACTGATATTTTTGTAAAATACAGTACAAATCAGTTACTAGAAAAGTGGAATTAAAAAATACAAAGTAAAGGCCCCAATCTTTATTATAAAATTCACAGATATGAAATTATTATATCAAATTTCTATAAACATTCTAAGCACTTATTCTCAATTCTGTGTTTGTCTTATTTCAGAGTAGTAGAAAGTAGTAGACTAATAACATAGACTAGTGAAAAACAGGTTGCAGGTCAGCATTAGTCTATAGACCATACTTTTTATTTTGTTTAAAATTTGTTATCTTTTTACTTTTAAAAAATTTTAACTGAAGTATAGCTGGCATATAATATTAAGTTTAGGTGTGCAATGTAGTGCTTCAGTGGTTATGAAATTCTCACCATGATAAGTGTATTACTGTATTATAGACTATATTCCTTATGCCCTACTTTTCATCCCCATGACTTATTTATTTTACAGTGGACAGTTTGTACCTCTTATTCCCCTTCACCTAATTTGTCCAGGCCCCCACCCCCAGACCATATTTTTTAGTAACATATCCATAGCCTGCTCTTTGTAGTGTTTAATGTTATGAGTTCTTCGAATCTTAGTCAATATGGTTAATAGTATTTATCCTTTAAAAAATATTTTCATGTGTTTCCTTTTCAGAACCGTGAGCTCCAAATCATGAGAAAGCTAGATCACTGTAACATAGTCCGATTGCGTTATTTCTTCTACTCAAGTGGTGAGAAGGTAGGTCTTGCAGAAAGTGTGTACTGAATATTATGATAGACTTATTATTTTTCTAAAATTAGTCATCGTTCCATACTGCATCTCCCACCCTAGCCCAATTAGCAGAACAGTTTTGCTAATTGAATGGAAGAATTCTAAAACACAGGCCCTAGTGATTCTGAACTTAAGATATAATCATTGAATATCATTAGTCATATCAGAAATTATTTATGAAATAAAAAAGGGAATGAGTTTTTAAGAATTTTCTTTTTTAGAATATTTGTCTTTAGTTCTTTATATGTATGTATATCTATCTTAAACTTTCTGTGTTCCTTAGGTGCTTCTGGAGCCCCGTGATAGTTCCACCTGTTTATTATGGGGGGGAAATTATGTCATTTTAAGTGGAAGTATTGGAGGAAAAGGGGAAACAGGAAGACTTTGGTAGGACTAGAATGAGACTTAAACACTGGGAGGCAAGTTTAACCTATCTTTGGTGAGGGAAAAAGTTAGAAAGGTGTAATACTACAAAGCTTGTTGTAAGTGGCCACTATTTATGATCACATTTAATTTTGTGAAAGCGAAGGATAATTAAAGGAGACTTTGTGCTGTGCATCCCTGGCCCTTTTGGTCTTTCTGTTCATATGATGACAGTAACTAACATCATTGTGCTTACTGGAGTTTGGAAGCACAGAAAATCAGTTTCTTCTGTTTTACTTGCTTAATTCTGCCTGTTCACTCTCTCTTCTTCCCAGATTCAATATTTTCCTTACTTTCTACTTCACCGGTTTGGGCTGAGAGGGCGGGACACATAATAAACTACTTAATCTTTTTGGTTAAACAAATATGACTTTGGAGAAGACCAGTTGATATTTTGGACCTCAGATTTCTGGTATATACTGTCTAAAGTTCCTAGATCCATAATTCCTCTTGATTTCTAAGCACAGTATTTTTTTTTACTTCATATAACTATTTATTTCCCAGTGTACCAGTGTTTAACCATTTTCCATTAAGTTTATTTAGATTATTTCCTTAGAAGTTCTTTTTTTCATGTCAAAGCATGTAATATGGGAATGTTCCTTTGTGTTAAGCTACAATTGTGATATACCTCCTGTGGATACATAAATGTTAAATATTTGAATGTGTTTGTGTCAGTGTCAGTCATAGCTAATGTTTTAGCAACCATAATTAGCAAATTGTCTCCTTAGTGACTGTTGTTTCTCAGGTGCTTATTTAAGGGAGTGTAAGCCCTTGTAAGTATTTGAGCCCTTTTGTTTCTAAAGCCAGTTACGAGGTTCATGCTACCTTTTTTTTTTTAACCTAGCAAACTGCCTGTTATGTCTTTAATCTTATCTATTCTGACATCTTTACTTTTTCCTGTCCCTTCCCAAATAAAATTATGGACCATCTGTTATGTTCACAGCACTCTTATAATGGAATTTTTGCGTCCTCATGACTTTTGTTATTAGATGCTAGACATTATAATACCCCAGGGAGGAAAGTAAAGGTCAGAATTATTTGTTCCATGAACCACTAGATTACATGGAGATTGGTTTGCGAAGGACTCCCTACAAAGCCCCTAAACATTTTCTCATGATTACTTTATTTATATAGCTTTCCCTATACAGCAGACACTGTATTTAGTATTTTACAAATATTAACTCATTTAATGCTTACGAAAATTAAGAGCAGAAAAGGAAGAATGTCAAACTTTTAAATATAAGGCTCTATTTGTGGCAGCATCAAAAGCTTGACCTATCTGGGTTTGGTCTGGTGAAAGCCTTGTTCACAGTCTGCCCTCACCCTCACTTAATCCTGCCTCGGGAGTGACAGTGGACTGTTATCTGTATACCGCAGAGGATGGATTCCCTCCCTGCTGCTGTCAGAGCTGCTTATTATCATAAATGGTCTTACAGATAAAGAGCAATTGAGAAGTCATTAAGGGAGATTAACCAGGAGGACGCTGAACCTCTGTTATAAAAAAGAAATGTACTTTCCAATGTTTTATTTATCTCAGAAACTTTCTCTTGAGCTTTGTAAATTTTCCAAAGTGAAAAAAAAAAGTTCCTCTTAGTTTTAGATAGCTTCATTAAAAATTTAAAAAAAAATAGAAAAGTTGTGATATAGTGCTGAAAATAATGATCCTTCTTCCTTAACAAAAAGGGAAGGTTTTCTGAAGATATGCAGAAATACACCAGTTCAGGACCTCCCATGATCTTTTAGCCACCAAAAAGATGAGTTCTTCTTGCCCTACTCATGATCTCCACTTCCATTCTTCTGAATTGTTCTGGCAGGGCTAACATCACTCATGAGACCAGATAGTAAATTAATATGTCCCAAATGAGAAGAGAGGTTCTGTTCTCAGGTTGAGAACTCAGGTTTGTAGTTATCAGTTCTAATTCTTAAGAGTCCTGAAAGTGAACTTACAACTGCCTTTTAGAAAAGGATCTAAGTATCTTAGGGAATTCTTACAAATTTTTAAAGATGATCTCTCTCTGTATATGACAGTCCTATATTGGGTAGGCATTTTTCCTAACAGAAGCATTATGTACTACCTATGTGTATATATTAGAAGAGTTTGGGGGAAGAAATAATAATAGTTCAAGATGTCTCTGGGACATGCAAATAGAAATCCCCATGAGACAGATACATGTATGATTTCATAGGTGGTAGTGGTAGCTGACAGTGGAGGGTGGGTGCTAAGTAGAGAAAGGGTATTGACAAGGTTGGGCTGAAAGGGTATTGACAAGGTTGGGCTGATAGAGTTGTGTAGCCATGTGGTAGAACTCTTTGGAGTTCTGGGACAAGGAGAGGGGTGTTTGAGACCAGGACAGTAAAGAGCCAACAGTTTGCCAAGTACTGCCTTCTGGTCCTAGAATGTGAGAATAGTCTTCATTTGGGAAAACTGCAAGGAAGCCAGTGCCTTTGGGTATGGTAGGTCCTTTGTCTAGGACAGAGCAGTAAAAACAACAAAAAACAACAATAAAAAAAACCTCTGTGAAGAGACTGGGATTCAATACTCCATGAAGAGTTTTTCTTCAGGGTGCTAGAGAGCTCAGGGGAACATTTGGACAAGACATCAGTGGTCAGAACATAAGCCTAATAGGAAATGTGAGCAGGCAGTGAGGGGGACGATTTTAGAGACAGTGAGGATGAAAAAGAGAAGAATTCAGTGTTTCAGGATTATAAGGGTGAAAGACTTGGTTGATGTATATGGAAGCATTTCATAACTCTCTTATTGTTGTCCTCATCTCTCCCTCTCTACCGTTTTCTCAGTCTCTTCTGTTCCTTTTGTCTCTATTTTCTGGATTTCTGCTTCCTTCACTCTGGGCTCTGGGTCTCTCTCTTTTGGTCTCTGGGGTTCTGTCCCTCTCTTGGTTTGTCACCTGCTCAGATTTTTTTTCCCTCTTCAACTCTGATACCTGTCTGTCTGTCTGTCTCTCTCATTTAATTACTATATGGATTTCAATCTCACCCCTCTTTTGTTGGGTTTCTACCCATCTTTCTTTGAATATCTCATCCTTCTGAGTCTGTATGGATTCTCATCTGTCCTGAGCCTTCTTCATTCTCTTTCTTGGTCTTTCTTTCTTTCTTTCTTTCTTTCTTTCTTTCTTTCTTTCTTTCTTTCTTTCTTGTTCTTTCTTTCTTTCTTGGTCTTTCTTTCTTTCTTCTTTCTTTCTTTTTTTGCCTCTATTACTCCCTTTTTGGAAAACTTTAAAGAAGAAAAATTTTTACGCACTATCCTGACTTTTGACTTCTACTTTCTTCCTTCCCTCCTTCTCTCTTCTCTTCTCTCCTTTTCTCTCCTTTCCTTTCCTTTCCTTTCCTTTCCCATTCTTTTCATTTCTTTTTTTTTCCTTTCCTTTCCTTTCCTCTTTTTTTCTTTCTTTCCTATCTCATTTCATTTGTACATGTTGCATAGTTGTATGAATAATTATTTATAACCTTATAAACTTTGAAGATCTCATAAAACTTTCTCTGTTGCCTCATAGTATTTGTAGTTATTGACTATACAGTATTCCATTGAATTGTTGAACTGTATAATACTCCCTAAGTATTCCTCCACTGTGCTACCCCAGGGCTTCATCATAATTTTTATCTATAAGCACTTTTCAGCTCTGGGTGAAGTTAGAGTAGGATTACTGCAATATTTAGCAGATATTACCACTGACCACAGTTTGACTGAAAGGTTACGTCTGTTTTGGTAAAATTGTCTTTATTTTGCTCTACCCTGCCATTTTAAAGACTATTTTTCTTTAGCAATTGTTTAGCATATAACTGGGGAGAAGACTGTCCATAGTAACTGAAAGAAGGGGGAATTAAGTCAGGATAGAAAGCAGAGGTGTGACCTAATTAGTCTGTCATAGTCATCTGGTTGGAATTACTAGTGTTTGATGTAGTAACTAGAGCATCAGGTAGTCAATCAGTATACTTTAGATTACTCAGTAGGCTTTAACTAACTCTGATTTAGTTCAGAAGAAGTAGCACTCTTTGTCCTTTACCAGACAAAAATGGGGATTTTTGAATGTTTTATAAGACTAGGCTTATGATACTTTCGTGAATTTGTGTTTTTTCATTATCAGTATTTGATAGTAGAAGTTGCTTTGCCCCTAAATAAAATTTTATGAAGAACCCTATCCTATAAAAAAAACAGGTAGAAAATAAAGTTGCTTTGGTTGAAACTAGGGTATAGGACCAGCTATTGTTGTCTTTCCTGAGTTGCACCTCACCTCTGTAGAATCCTAGGAGTCTGAAGGACGGACATAGTATGTAAACCACATTGTGTCTTTACAGGAGACTCAAATTTTATTTGAAAAAAAATTTTTTTTAGAAAAATTTCTGTAAGTAACCTTACATGTGAAAATATTTTACCTGTAAAATATTAGATTGGTAAAATCATAGATTGATAATTTGAATAATAAATTAATTAGATTGTAAAATCATAGATTGGTAATTTGAATAATAAAGAAATAGCCTTCCTTAAAAAAATCTTTCCCTCTACTTGCATGAGAGGCAGTTTAAAT